ATTTTTCGGGACTGGGTCTTGCCCTTTTGACCAAAACAAATCTATCACCATAATTTGCAGTATGTCCTGCCATCCCATTTAACTTTGCTGAGCCTAGCATATCTCCCAGAATCATAGTCATGTACATGTGATTTATGAAATAGGAGGAAACTATAGCATCCCACATCCATATACCTTGACTACACTGTGCTGCATCCTGGAAAAGGAGATATATAAATGACTCAATACTTCCTGGACTGTGGGGTCCTGGAATGGTCATGGTTAATATGATATTGTTGGAATGGTACCTCATTTCTGGAGGTATGTTGAGCAATATCAGAATCAATATCTAAGTATCAGACTGCTTCTTCATTGTAAGCTGGGCCCCATCTGTGGATAATGCAAAGGCAATGTCACACTCATCCTAAAATAATCCCATGTCCTTATAATAGTGTTCATGAACACTCCCACTAGGGAAATCACAATATCTTGCCTGAGCCTGAGTCCCAGAACTTTGTGAGTCAACTGCAAGTAACTTCAATGTTTTTTGTAAACATCTATCCCTGTATCGCAGGAGTTGGGATGTTTGCTTATTTGCAAACATTGCTTGGATAATTGGAATAAAAGATACATATAGCATTTGTGCTCTGGGCTTATTTTTAGATCCAGCAACATAGCGCCTCTCCCCACATGTGATTTGACCCTTTATGGTGTGAGGATAAGCTTCCAAGTCCTTAAAGTCACCTGTATATGCAATACAACTCTTTGGGCACATATCAATCTTTACAGGCTCAATCTTGGCCAGTGATCTAGCCAGCTTGCAAACAGCATATAGTGACAATATGTCTAACTGAGTAGCTTGTTGTGATACTTGTGCATGCAGCTCATATGCCTTGACAGTGCCATTTGACTTTTTCATGCAATGTAGTGTTTAAGGCTGTGAATCTCTGACTCTGTCAGATCAGCCCTCCTCTATCAGATTCACAAGACTATCTGGAATCTTCAGAAGATGATGGTGAAGATGAACGGGTTTCACATCTAACTGTTCAGCAAAAAGGTGCGGAAAAAGAGAAGATAGTCATACACACAGCCTATGCCCAATTACTGCCTCAAAATAAGCATTTCCAAGCAGAGCATGATTGTCAAGTCAACAATGTCTTGACAGAGTGTGGTTGTTAACCAACAAACTCTCTGCAGCTCAAAGGGTAACCACTCCCACATCATCTTCCTTATAGTGTGTTTCTGTGTGCGCCAGAGTAACTAACTCTTGGTTGTTACAGTGTCCCATTCTCCTGTGCAATAAATTTACATCTACTGCTGCAAAAGCTGACTCTGGGTTGATTTCGGGTTTTGCTTGGAAGTGATAAAGTCCTCGCTTGTGTAACGCAGTGAGGATAAGTTCCTCCTTTTTCCAAACTTCACAAGCATTTGACCCTGCTGGAAAAAGTGTTGATAACCCCATTTTGGACAATTTGTGGACAGAGACGAGTGCTAACGTGAAGTTTGGCACAAGTAAGACATTTGACAGTGCAATATTGTAGTCCTTATTGCCAACAGTTGCTTGTAGGATTACTGTTCCAATGCCAATGGCATTTACAGAGGATTCATCCCCAAAACTGATTGTCCTCGGAGGATGCAGAACATGGTATGTTCCTGGCTCAAACCAGGAGCGGTGAGGGACCATGTGGGATGTTGCTCCGGAGTCAATAATAATTGCTGTTTTGGTCTTATCGGGTTCCAACACAAGGTAAGCTTGAATGCGTTTAGCAGGGGGCTTGGAAATATGTATATGTTCCAATGCAATATGACTCTGTTCCTCCTCGGAGTCAGATCCAGATGATTTCTCCGCCGTATTTGCCTTTTCCTTCTCTTTTCCTTTATCCTTGTATCTTTCCTTTTCCTTCTTCCTTTGACCTTTTTCAGCTGACTGAAGTGTTCGACACTCCGAGGTGTTGTGTGATTTGGCTTTGTGGAAGTTACACCATTTCTCCTCGGATTTGAGTGCTGATTTGGAACCTCCAGGGGCCTTCCCTGACTGTCGTGCAACTTCTGCAGTGATCCGGATCTCCACTGCATCAAAGGTAAGTTTATTTTCTTCAATCGTGTTGATTACTGATGACTGAAATATTTGCCATTCAGGAGTGCATGGGAGAGATTGGAGAAGAGCAAAAGCCATGAGTTTGGTATCAACTCCTAGTTTCATTCCGGAGAGGTGTGAATCAATTGTCCAGATTTTTGCAATGTGGTCCTGGATAGGTGATGTCCCATCCCAGGACAATTTGGTGAGTTGCTGGAATGAATAGAAGGCCGAGGCAATGTTGGATGTTTGATGGAGTGAGACAAGTTTATCAAATAACTCCTTGGAGCTGGTGAGGTCTCCAGTCCTCATTAGGAGGGCATCAGAGATGTGGTCCTGGATGATTCCATGTGCCTTCTCATCCTTAAGTATCCAGGTGATCTCAGGATCCTCCAAGGAGGTAGGTTTTCCTGGTGAGGGCTTAAACTCCTCTCCAGTAACAACCCGGAGAACTTTTTCCTGATGTAGCTTTGAGATGATCCGGAGTTTCCATATCTGAAAATTATTGGGTCCAGTGAGAACTGGACATGCGGATGTATCGCGTGCTGTGGTCATGGTTCCGAGGTTGCCGTTTCAAATAAGAATTATTTCCTGCGTAGCTTTTGCGCACCAGGGCTCATAACCTCATAAACCTATGTGAAACTCAGCCGCTGCCCGAGAGGCTATAGAAACGACTATATTATTTACCTATGTGAAACTACAATGGATGTTAGTTTAAGGTGATCTCTAATAAATGTAATTTAACATACCTCAGCCGCTGCCCAAGAGGTTATAGAAACGACTGAGGTATTTCTATACTAAACCCCCTACTACTTATAGTCGGAGGTGCTACTCGCTACAGTATAATGGCTCCTAGGAGAACAATGGTTACTCCATGGAGTGGTGGCTATGCTCCATGGAGAATAATGGCTGCTTTGGCAGAGACCGGGTTTATCCAGTTTTGTCACTTTCCCTTTTGTTCAAACTCCTCTTTCTTGCGCTGCACTGCCTTTATTCCTATTTTAGCTACAAATCTGTCATGCAGTGGAGCTGGTCACACGGGCTGCGCCCTCTGACATTATCAGCCACTGCTTTTATCAACTGTACAGTACATAAACACAAACACTCTGTATTAGTATATATACCCCAATAGATCCAGGAGACTCCTCAGTGAGTCCTCCTGTTGTATACCAACTAACTCACTGCAGCCTAAGGGGTAACCACTCCCTCATCACTACCTTTATAGTGTGTTCCTGTGTGCACCAGAGTAACTAACTCTTGGTTGTTACAGTTAGGTAACACTTCCTGGGCAAAATCTTGCAGTCAACAACAAAGCCATCTTGAAATACGCAGGAGGCTGGATGAGACCTAGAAATTTCCAAGATAAAAGATATCTATCAGGACCTATGTTGATGAAGCAGAAGTTTTCAAGCTGGTCTTCCGTATCTGCGAGGAGGGCAGGGAAATAAAGAAAATAGTGTGGCAAGGCTTCTAGTAGCCAAAGACTCTGTAAAACTACTCTGTGTGCTACTTTTACAGCTCACCTATCATTAATACAAGACTTTCAATTCTTCGTGCTGAGGCCTGAGATGAGTGATCAGTCAATTTTCCCCAGAAACTTGCGCAAATATGAAGCTGATCTCTTACAGATGCGGT